GAGATGGAGTGCACCGGCCATAGTCGATCGTGTTCTTAAGTACATCCCGGATCTCGAAAACGAGATAGAAACACTTAAGCTCAAGAAACAAAACTATATAACTCAATCAGAAGAGAGTGCTGAAATTAGTCCTGCTCAGAATTCACAGCAAATAACTGGCAGTGGCACTACAGTTTCTGTAAATGAAGTTAAAGAGGGAGAAGCTATCATTCAAATTTGCATGGAAAATAATAATGCATTTACAAAATTGCTGCAGAAATTGGAAGACGAGCAAGGCATTTGCATCAAAAGTGCATCTACTCTTCATGTCTCTCAAACTAGATTCTGCTATCATCTACACATTCAGGTACACAATTTATCTCCAGAAATTAAAATTTATTACAATTTTTTAACTTTAATTAGATATTCCATTTTGAAATTTATGTAGATATTTAAAAATTTATCATAAGAGCCACCGTGTACTAAAACAATCATGATACACAATCTTATTGCTAGACATAAATATACGAATTGCAATAAAATAAATAAATTGAAATATTAAAAATGGCAAAATATAGTTCAAACTTGTCTGATCCCTCATCCTTTTCCTATTTAAAATAAAAATCAATTTACAAGATATAATAATATTTCCTCCAACCAAAAATCATTGTCCTAATTCCACAGAAGTACAACCATGATCATTGATCCACAAGGTTGTTTCAGTTAGAACTGAAATACAATAGCTAGAATATATAAAATTATAATTTTAGGCCCATTATTTATAATTTTCAAGGTGTAACTAAAAATAAAGTTAAGAAAATAAAAGATATAAAATTTGTACTGTTAGGTTTGCCTATAACATATCCAATAGATCGTATAAAGAATTTAGTATAAAACTATAATAAATAATACAATATAAAGAGTAATATGGTAGATTAAAATGAATATGTTCATCATTTATTGTTTCTTATCTAGCCTAAACTCTAAACCTTAAGCTTGTGCACATTTTATGGTTATTAATTTAAATGAGTATCTTCTGAATAAAAATTAAATAACAGTACAGACTTATTCATTATAATTTTCTAACAAAAATATCTATTTATCCTAATTTGGTGCACCAAATACTAATTAATATTTATAAATATTTTTTTATTAATATTGTTACTGTTGCACCTCCATTGATAAAATAATGATAGAATTTTCAGTAAGTTTTGCACAGTGATTGTCAAAATTTCACTAAGTGTACAATATTGATAAGCAAGTAATCGTTTCCACGAGAACTATTTTATCCATATATTGATTATATTAAACATAGCTTCTATTAGAGCAAAACAGAAATCCTTGGGTAATGTTGATTGTTCTAACAATTTTAAAAGGTTTGATTTTTGATATTAAATTAGATGCGAAAAGTGCTAGTATTACGAATTCATTATAATTTTCCACTTTTAATTTAACCTACAAAACAATGAAAAAAATATATATATAACATGTGTACCGGTTTAAAGTCTCCAATTTAATTGAAAACCTCTCTTGAAAACTATGACATGCTCTAAAACCCCTCCCACGCTGTACTTAAAATAATAATAATAATAATAATAATATTCAGTATGCGTTCTTTAAATGCCCTTTATTTTCATAACTAAATTTATAATATTATCATAAATGCAAAATGCCATTGTATGTCAAAATTTTGAGGCTGACTTTGATTATAACCTAAAATATTTTTATCTTTTTTGGACAGACAAGTGAAAATTCAATTCTGGCAAACTATGTTGAAGGATTGAGAGAGAAGGTAATTTCTTGGTTGAGATGATTGAAAGGCATCAATATTATTAATATTGTTGTTACAGATTTTTATGTAAATAAAGTCTTTGATAAAGTAGCTCAAAATAGTTGCAAACTTAAAGCAACAGCAAACATAGAGAATTATGAAGTAACTAGGCTATGCCCCGTTTGGCCCCCATTCTTGTCAAATTTTAATGGTTGGAATAGTGTTTTTTTGAATAATGTGCGGTTGAAAAAGAATGAAAAGTCTTTAATTTGCGTATAATATTATTTTATAAAAAATTGTATGGTTGAAAATAAGAGAGAGAGTGAGTGAGAATGGGGGCTCAACGAGAGCTATATAGATAATTATCAACTTATTTGATATGTTTTACTTATAACCCAATGTTTGGTCATTTATCTTGAAGTTAAACAAAAAGCTTCCTTCTCTTTTGAATTAGTTTTGAGTTAGTATGCAAATACTATAAATCTTCGGATAAATATATATGTATCCGAGGGGTTATCGAATGGTGTCCCCACTTTCACAATGTACGGCGGGCACCGTGTGAATTTAAAAATGACGACTCATGGTCTCCACCCCTATTATGAGTAGTAAGTAAAAGATTCGGTAAAAAAATTCGATACGTGTAGCATTATTCTAAATCTTTATGAGTTTTGTAAATAATATTATAAAGTAAGTTTTTTTTCTTCTGTAACGTTGTTATGTGAAATTTGGTTATTCATCTGCAAAAGGCTCCCTACTAAGTGTCTATGTTTAAGTGGCTTAAGTGCCAGCAAATCGTAAGTCAATTTCTACTAAATGCAAATCAAGTGGGATTAAAAAAAAATTAAGAACTGACCAAAAACTGGACGTACAACTAAAGAGCAAAAACTAGTCTACCAACCGGTCTAACTATAAAACCACTAGATCAGGACCGGTTTTAGTGTTTTCCCAGGAAAAAGGGGAAAAACTTTGAAGATATAGAGCCCGATGACTTGGACTTAAAGTCCCATAAAGGTACAACATTATGCTCCGGTTTGGTAGAGATTAAAATCAGATTTTTAATAGATTTTGATAAAAAGTTAATGAAATGTGGTTGAAATGTTGTAATTCTAATAAAATATGTTATTAAAATAAATTGTTGACTTTAACTTAAATTAAAATTTGAGATATATCCTATTAACTGCACTCGTTATATTTTGCTCTCTCAATCCACATTATTAAGAAATTTTTACTTATCATGTCATTGCATGTTAATTTTATTCGAAAGAAATGTATAATAATTTAAAGCTCAATATAATTTACATCTTGAAGTGATATTTTTTTTCCATTCCCATTCCCATTCACTCTGTATTTCTCATTTAATTTAATTTTAACAACACAATAAAATGTTATATATTAATTGTCTTGTTTTCTATTGACATTAGAAGTGGTCAAGCGAAAATTAAGAGTCTATTTGACAACCATTATTATTCAAAAACGATTTTTGAATAATGATTTTTTTGTAGGAAGTGTGGTTAAAAAGTAGGGAATTTTTTTTTTTTTTTTTTGTACAAGTGTAAAATATTTTATTTTGTGTATATATGATTGAAATTGATCTTATAGCAAATCATAAAATAAATTAATGATTGCCAAACAATCATCAAGATCCCGTTTGAGCCACATTATTGTAAAAGTGAGAATGAAAAATATAGCCGTTATAGGCTCCACACAAGAAATAAAAAGTCAAATATGATGGTTTGAGTGATGGATAACGATCATATTTTTCATTTTAATGAGAAAATAATGAGGCTCAAACAGGGCCCAAATATATTCAAGTTTAATGAGTGTTTTTATTCACACTAGTCAAAGTTGAATGTGCATTGCACGTTATTCTAAAAAAAACTTTATAAGTGATGTAAAATAAATATTTGATACCAATATGTTGGAGGATTTGATGAGTCTTAGATGAATTAAAAAAAAAATAGCATAAAAATTTTAGAGAAAAAAATTATACTCTCAAAACTCAATTTCTATGATTCAAATTTTTGGTAATGATGAAATACTATAAATGAGCAATTTTTTTATATTACATTTGATTCATAAAAATTAATTGTTAATACAAAAATTTAAACACCCATTAAAATTTTTAGATACATGAATATGAATAAATTTATCTATAATAACTTCAGATTTATGTAAGTTTATCGAGTGAAAATTCATTGAATCTAGATTAATATGAATGTTAATTAATTAATTAATTAATTAATAACACAAATTTCTTAAATAACAATAATTATGTAGTATTTATTACATATCGAAAAATAAAAAGAATAGAGAAAGAATGTCAACAAAAAAAAAATAATAAATAAATAAAATCACTGGTTACAGCCATAGATGACAACACAAGAAAAAAATGGTTGGGATGACAACACATCGCCCAACTCCATTAAAATTACAAACCACAAATTCTCACACCAAAAATTAAAATTCAAAGAAAAAATAAATGTCATTACCTGTCATTGAATAAAAAACGCTAATGATGAATTATCTGTAAATATTGTTGTACTTCCCTATATCACGAAATCATGTACATCTCCCTCAGCACGCCATTTGAAAAAATCATTTATGCTGTAACCAACTTTCATTCTGGCCATCGTCTCAACATCTGTTTGGCGTAGAATGTCCAAAGGGAGCAGCTCAATAGCGAGAACGGACCACAAATAGAACAAAATTTTGTAGGCTGACTTTGTTTATGCGTCAACTCTTAGGAGCGATAGCCGCTAGGGCATTAGCGTGCGAGGGTGAAAGATTGCCCAAAAGAGGCTGCATCTGATGACCATAAACTGACATCAGGTGAGAGAATGCCCTGCCTATCTGCGTCTTGACTTCAGGTGTTTCTTCGGGTGATGAAGCAACTTGGGCAAATATATCAACCAGCTGGGGAACGTTAGACAGGATCTGCAAATGGAAGAAAACAAATTGACAAAACCGCAATAAAAGAAAAAATTAAAGAAGTCGGAAAAATGTAGTTCAAAACAAACATGATTTGAGAAGTTAAGGGCATAAAAAAAAATAATAATCTGAGTACCTGAGGATTAGATGATAAAACGAGATTACAGATGCAGCTATATACAGCTATTGATTCTTCCTTGTCCTCTTTCAAAGGAAGAACTTTCAAGAAAACAGGGAGGACCTGATAAAGCGGCTGTGTGTTAAAAATAAAATTAGGGCAAAATATAAGCACAACTTCAAAGTAAAGAATTGGAAGGTGAACCTGATTCAAAGGAATGGCCTCCGGGTGAAACATAATCATCCTTGCCACTGCACCAGCGGCATTGTCCCTAACTGCATTATCCGGCTCTGATTCCCCAAACAATGGATAAAGGCCACGTAGAGCATCATCATAGTATCTATTAGATATGTAAGGAGATATGAGTAAACATGAAAGAAAAGAGGATGAAATATATTAGCAATTAAGCTAAGTTAGGAATGTGAGCAAGACAAATGCAAAAAGATAAGGATCAACCATCACACAGTCACCATCGCAACCCCAATAGCAACATTATAGATAGAGAGAGAAGAAGTATGGGAGAATTCTTCGCTGTGAATGGGAAGAATATGGGTACGACGGCAGTCAAAGTAATTATGCATTAGACATATGGAAGGATACCTCAAAGCAGAGTTCCCACCATTTTTGCACAATTCACCAACACAAAATGCTGCATTCCTCCTATTAGTGGAATCAGATGACCCTAATTCTTTAAGTACAATGTTCATCACAGCCTGAAATTTGAAGTATATCCATTACATTAATATCATGTGACCAGAAAGTAACGGAAAATGCACTGTTAATCGCTCAGCATTACATCAACATAGCCAGCAATTGGAGCACCCATATGCTGGGCAACTTCTGCCAGGGTCGCAACAACCATCGTACGATCTTGAGGTGGGCTTGATGCTTTCTACAATTGCCATTACAGAAACCAGTGAGAAATGAAACAAAACAAGTGCAGAGATTCATATTCAGATGCAATACAGTAAGCAGCTTTTATTAACTGCAAATTTCATCAAAGGTGCAAACAGTTGCGAAAAGATAGGAGCAAATTGAGCGCCCATGGCCTTTGCATATGCAGGAAGGAGATCAGAAACAGCATCCATGAGCACTTCGTCATGTTCAGGATCGTCGTCATCAATCTCACTGTCAGATTCTATCTGTTGACATGTTGACTCCCCTTTAAGCAATACCGAAGTTGCTTCAACTAGTTGAGGAAAGTCTGCCATAGGAACATAGGAAAAAGGGAGAACAGCTGGTAAGCTTCTTCACAGGAAAAATAGATATTTCAGGATCCAAAAAAAAAAAAAAGAAAAGACCACCAGATTTTGCACTCACAAGGCTC